ATTCTCATGAGGAATCTTCCAATCAAACCAGTAGAGGAGATTAGCAAGCATAAACTCAGTGGAAGCAAGTGCAAACGAAATTCCAATACACCCTCTTCTCCCAGAACCAAAGGGAATAAGCTGCAAATCATTTCCTCTAAAATCAACTTCGGGCTCTTCTTCAAATCTCTCGGGAAGAAACTCTTCGGGCCTGTTCCAAATTTCAGGGTCCCTCTGAATCGCCCATGCATTCACAAACACTCTTGTTTTGGATGGAATATCGAAACCTTTGACTTTTACATCGGATAAAGTTTCTCGGGGTATCAAAAGAGGAGCAGGTGGATATAATCTCAGAGTTTCTTTCACTACGCATTTCAGATAACTCATTTCATTCAAATCATTCTCTTCCACTTTTAGTTTCTGCCCGACAACTCTTCTTACTTCTTCTTGAGCTCTCTTCATGGTAGCAGGATTATTCAAGAGCGCCGCAAATACCCATTCCAGAAGTGTTGAAGTGGTGTCACTTCCTCCAGCAAATATGTCCTGAAATTATGAAGATGGAAACATCCCTTAAGCTGTTCATGGATACTTGAACATAAATTTCAGCATTATATTTTACTGTTAGAGAAACTATCTACAAGAATTGAAGATTTTGAAATATTTTAATCTTAGGAGATGTGATTGTACCATTAGGATTGCCTTGACGTCATCGTGTGTAAGCTGAAAATCATGGTTTCCTGCACCATCTTGAATCTGAAGGAGTGAGTCCACGAAGTCTTTGTTACGAGGTTGGTAACTGTCCATCTTCATTATTTTCTTGCGTTCAGCAATTAACTGATCAAAGAAAGAATCTAATGCCCTGAAAGTGGCCTTAAATTCTGGTATTTGGCCAGAAAGAACGTCAATCCAACCTAACAAAGGAAAGAAATCTCCCACCGAGAAAGTGGCTAGGTGTTTCATCATCTTCCTTCCTAGCTCTCCAAAGCTGATTCCACCATCTGGGTTATCGTACTTTCTTCCAACAACACATCTAGACATTATGTTGTTGGAGGTTTCAATCAGAATCTCAGTCAGGTTCACGCAAGAAGACGTTTTACCCGCGCTGCATGCTTCACGTATGGCACCAAGCATGGCTGCAACTTCTTCCTCTCGAATGAACTGAAAGGATCGCACCCTTTTGATGCTTAGAAGCTCAAGAACACAGATCTTCCTTTTCTGTCTCCACTCTTCCCCGTAGGGTGAAAAAGCCACGTCCGTGCACCCATACATGATGATTTTCACGGCTGTGGTCTGAGGCTTATTGGAGAAAGCAACATCATGGGTTTTGTAAACTTCTTTGGCGACATCAGCTGATGAAACCACAAGAGTCGGAGTTTGGCCTAATTGCAGAAACATGAGAGGGCCATACTTGCGAGACAGTGTTTGGAAGGAGCGGTGTGGGAGAGTGCCCAGTTGATGAAGGTTTCCAATTATGGGTAGTTTTGGTGGGGAAGGAGGCAAATTGGACTTGTTTCTTCTTCTTTTGTTATTAAGCACAAAAAGGAGGGTTAAGAAGAAGAAAAAAATGGCTATGTAAGAGGTACTGAGCTGGTTTGGCAATTCCTTTAAAAGTGAGGATAATGGTTGAACTCGAAGAGCCATTGCTTCTAGGGTCACTTGGATTTTGGTGAGTAGGTTTGTATTCATCTCCATAACCCTGGTTGAGAATTTATAGAAACTCAATAATGAATAGGATCAGAGAAATGTATCATACAAAATCACGGATGAACAAAAATCTTGTCCTTTACGATAAAATAATAAAAAAATAATATCGAACCAAGTGGGTAGAGACTTCTGTGTTCTTGTATACTGTTTTTTATTCGATTATACATGCACAAACACTTTTACATTTATTCCCTATATTTAAATGTGTTTTAGTATCTCTTCTCCATGACACCATCGACTCATAATGTGGATCTATGAATCTTGGTTTAAGTCGAATGTGGTTTGCTTTAGACTCATTATTATAAAACCAAATTTCGCGTAGCTTATTTTTTATTTTTGTTGTCTATTCAAACTCTAATATCTTAGTTGGAGACGTCAATTTGATGTTGGATGAGAAAACGACGTCAAATGACGTCTGTTCAGCCAAACCGACATCTATTGATGATGGATATCAGGAAAATCGACGTCTAGAGTCGCTGAGCGAAAAGATCTACACCTCTAAGTGTGTTTTTTTGTCAAACACTTTGGTGCTCAACGGTAGGGAAACACTACTGAATGCACCTTTTTACGAACGTTTTGGCACTCAACGGAAGGAGAGCACCACTAAATGCGATATTTTGCATTGAAAATGGAGGCAATTGACGTCGTCTATGGTAAGGATCGATGTCAATAGAGGTATGTTATGCTAAGGGCTGACATCAAATGTAGCTTTTTTTTTTTAAAAAAAATATTTCTTTTTATAATTTTATCAAATCTGAAAAACAGAAAACTAGCACACTTTTTTGTATTGAATGTTTCCAGCATACAATTTCAAGATTAAAAGTATGAACTAATCAAAACTAAGACTAAAAACTAAAACTATCAAAACTAAAAGAATTAAAACTAAACTAATAAATGTCTTGAAGAAAAATACAATTGTTGCAATGTCCTAACTTCATCACCTAAAAGATATGTTTCTCACTCTTATCGTATCTTTTTCATTTTGTCTTCTGTTATTAGTGATGGATTCTTGAAGCACTACAAAAATAACACAACTTCATTATGACAAATAAAATAATCACATATCCGTAAATCTTGCTCCTTGTTACACTAAATATGACAAATAAACTAATCACATATCCAGGTTATAAATTGACATACAAAAAATAATAACTAAAAGATCAATGAGTTCTAACCTTTGGATGCAGTATTTAAATTTGTTGTGTTATGCGCTTACCCATAACACTAATTAAATTTGAAACATAGGTTAATATTAATGTAACTAAGTAGATTATATAAAAAAATGTAGCATGGATTTCAAGTCAGGTTTCATCCTCTTGTGTAGGAAAAAAAACCATACAATTTTGCATTGTCTTGGTATGATGACCATTAGTTGCCAATGGACCCTATCATGAGTCAATTAATTAAATGAACCTTCATAAAATTTTACATTTGTAACATATGCTCGTCAATTTATGGCGCAAGGTACATCTCTCTTTTTGACTCAGACATCCGTATTTTCAAATATGTTTTCTTGTGATAAATTATGTTTATAGAAGATTGAATGGTCGGAGGTTCAATAAATTTATACATGAAAGCTTAACCTTGGTCCAAAATGATTGTGTCCATGTACCTAAACAAGAAAGTTAAGTAGTGACAGGAAGATTGTCATTCTCAAACAACTTCTTCTTTTTCTTTTCTCCCTCTTCCTTTTTTCTCTCGTGATCTCTCTTTTTCTCATTCTCATTTTCACTCTTTATTCTTCTTTTTGAATACACTCTCCTCATCTTTTTCTGCATTTTTTTTAATTTTTCAGAATCATGCTCACACTCCTTTTCTTTTTCTTCTCTCAATTTTTCTAACTCAGGTTCACAATCTTTCTCTTTTTCTCTTGGTTTTTCTGACTTAATTTCCTCACCCCTTTCTTATATTCTAAAGTCATCATCACCAATTCCTTTACCTATAAAAATTCCTTGCCTAGTTGTGGTGGCTTTGCATTGCTCCTTTGGATTAATCTTAGTATTGGTCATAAGCTTTGCTTCCTACTATTTTCCTAGCTATTGTGCTAGCTTTCCAATTTGCACCTCCAAGTTCCTAAGTGATGCTTATGTGTTTTTCTGGTTTGTTGTAGACACCTGAATGAATTATGTTAATGCATCATCAATTTTTGATACTTTGTCATAGTGTTAAGGTTGTTGTCCATGAAAATTTGTTTGCAAAGATTGCCTACTAGTTGAACCACCATCATGCCTCCAACTTTGTTGTTGATTTTAGTTTTGATTTGATCTNTCTCAAACAACTTCTTCTTTTTCTTTTCTCCCTCTTCCTTTTTTCTCTCGTGATCTCTCTTTTTCTCATTCTCATTTTCACTCTTTATTCTTCTTTTTGAATACACTCTCCTCATCTTTTTCTGCATTTTTTTTAATTTTTCAGAATCATGCTCACACTCCTTTTCTTTTTCTTCTCTCAATTTTTCTAACTAAGGTTCACAATCTTTCTCTTTTTCTCTTGGTTTTTCTGACTTAATTTCCTCACCCCTTTCTTATATTCTAAAGTCATCATCACCAATTCCTTTACCTATAAAAATTCCTTGCCTAGTTGTGGTGGCTTTGCATTGCTCCTTTGGATTAATCTTAGTATTGGTCATAAGCTTTGCTTCCTACTATTTTCCTAGCTATTGTGCTAGCTTTCCAATTTGCACCTCCAAGTTCCTAAGTGATGCTTATGTGTTTTTCTGGTTTGTTGTAGACACCTGAATGAATTATGTTAATGCATCATCAATTTTTGATACTTTGTCATAGTGTTAAGGTTGTTGTCCATGAAAATTTGTTTGCAAAGATTGCCTACTAGTTGAACCACCATCATGCCTCAAACTTTGTTGTTGATTTTAGTTTTGATTTGATCTCCAATTATTGGAGTAGTTATTTGGTCTTTTGTTTTTATTCATGAAGTGTAATTCTTTTTCCTTTGTAGTTTCAGTAGGAGAACAATAAACATTATATGGTGTGCACTTGCACAAAAATCACATTTTAAAATTTGTTGTGCGCAGCCGTGAGCTTGTGGCTCAAACTCCAGCTTTGCCATCTACTTTTTCACTCTTCCATTTGTTAAGAAATGAATTTGTTTTATGACAATATATAATCTTGTGTTCCTAGCTCCAATATTTCTCTTTTAGAAGGATGATTTTTGTCATATTATGCTTGGTGATCACTACTTGCTAGTGATTAAATGATTGTAGTAGTTTCATCATCATAGTTTCTCTTACTGAGGCATCCAACAACATTCTTATTTGTGATTTAAGTCTACTAGGGAACATGTTGAATTGTGCTACTTCATCAAATCTAAGATTAGGACATTTTTTTAGCAAGGCTTTGTACCTTTCCCATGCTTCGCAGATGTGTTCACCCAATCCTTGGGAAAAGGTTGCAATGGCAGCCTTAACACTTATAAATTTAGATGGTTGGTCCTGGCCATAAATTTTCTTTTCACATTCTCCCAACTTGTTAAGCTTAGATTTTTTAAGACAGTATCATCTATAAGAATGGATCGTCTAACGTCCTCATATATTTTGAAGTTTAACAAACAACAATTAACAAAATGAGCATATGACAAAATGATATCTTTGTGAAAAATAATATTCTTGAAAGAAAAGCGTCTTATGAAAAAGCTTTGTGAAAAACAGAATGTTTAAAGAAAAGCTTTAGTAAACGCACTAACATCTTATTAGATGCACTACCAAACGATTTCCTCACAAAATACGACAATGTGCTATATGAGGGTCTTGCTAAATGAGCTCTTGCTATACTTTACTAAACAATGTTAAACGAGCTTTCACTATATCTTACAAAAAATGACGTTTTTGGTAAACACGCTAAAAGATATAAACATTGTTCCAAAAACATGTCGTGAAAGACATCTTGCTAAACACGCTTTTGAACCAAATTAAGACCACTAAACAAAGCGTTGTTAGAAAACACTTTGTATAGGCCAAACAATACCTTGTACCAAACGACATTTTCATCCAACAATAAAACCTTAAAGAACTGCTTGATATCTCTAAGAAATGCTTAAATGATCAAATCTTACTTGAATGACACAAATTTTGAAAAGCTTATAATTGTTCTGAAATTGCATTAAAGAGCATTAAATGCACCATATTTCAAAACAACAAAATGATAGGGAAAAGGACATATCTGCATGCAAGCATATCTACTCTAATCTTTGTTGTTGCCTATGTCAATTATCCATCTACTTTATCATATACAAGTCAGAAGTGGACATTAGAGACAAAAAAGATATTCATGTAATGTTCTCACCATCAAAAGTCGTGCTTAAGAGTTCATACAACCTACTTTTGATAAAGTACTAAAAAAGCATATATGCTCTGACAACTTGACTTCAACCTACGGCTGCTACATACGAAAAGGCTAAGAAAATCCAAAGATTAAAAATAAGTACTATCTAACATGTATTTTCTCTTGAAGCTTATAAATTGAAGATCCTTCAAGAGAAGATCAAGAGAATAAGCACATGAATACGAAAGAAATCATCTGAGAAGAAAAACAAGTACAAAAGAAAGAAAATACTCACAAGCTTCATATAATCATAAGCTTACACTTGTAAGAAGAGAGAAAACTTTAAAAAGTCTGTTAGATTGAATTATATTATAAACACATACTTTCTGTGAGAGTAATCATCTAAGGACTTGTAAGCAATCTGATTTATTACATATTCTTAAGAGAATACAAACACTTAACGATTAACTCGATGGAGTTAAACGATAGCTAGACATTGTATGGGTTGATACAGGGTTTGTCTAGTGAAAACTAGGAGTATGTGAAACTCAATTAGACAACGTATCAGGAATATAATGGGATTTTCTAGGGATGCCAAGAGTGGTAAATAATACTACACAACCAGGAGTGGGTGATAGTCGGTTCTAGTTAGAGTAAGAACGGTTACTGGGATTGACTAGGTGATACCGAGAGTAGTGTGAATACTTAATTGTAATCTTGTTGAAGATTATAGTGGAACCCTCTAAGAGGTCTTAGAGGTGAACTGGATGTAGCTTAGTGGAGTGAACCAATATAAAATAATTATGTGTTTATTACTTCAGCCTTGCAAAATGTTTTACTTATATACTCTACAGTTGCTTATTAACACAACCTTTTTAGAGTTGTCCTTCTCAAAACACTACAATAGATTTGCCTAAACAATTGAGAAACATTTTATTTCTGAACTTCCAGTTTAAAAAGAAGTTTATAACTCAAGTGTATGTCAACTCGTGTAAATCATTTAATCTTTAACAAAGTTATTAAACTACCTTTTGGAAAAAAGTTTTCCAAAACACTATTCAACCCCCCCCCTCCCCCTCTATCTAGTGTTTTCCAGTTATTTTAAGATTTGAGCGAGATTGTAACCAAATCTTGGCCTTTCCTACAAGTAATAATGGAAACAACCTGAGATAAATAGTTTCTTCATCATCAAAATTTGTCCCAAGGGTTCCACATAGTTCATAGAACGTGGCCAAGTAATTAAATAGATCTTCTTGGTCTAATCCAACAAATTGATTTGTTGTTATTAGAGTGAGTAATGCATGCTTTATCTTCATACCTTTTATAGGTTTAACAATGCTTGAAAAGTGGCATGACCCTTGTTGTTGAGTGTAATCTCCCAGTAATCTCCTTTGACTGTTTCCTGCAACAATTTGATTAGACCAATTTGCTTTCATATCAAGGTCTGAGTCTACAAGTTTAGTTTGTGGCAACAGTAGTGGCGTCAGAATTTGTCTATGTTTTTTGTGCTTGTTGTTGTGCCTTCTGATAGTGCGTTCAATCTTTGGATCAAACAATAAAACCTTTTTTATCTTCTCTTTTGCATACACAACAACTCAAACAGTAGTGAGCAACGTTAAAGCACAAAAATTGATGTAGAAAAGAGTGTAGAAATCAATGTAACAATAACTAAAAAAATAATAACATAAAAACAAACAAATTGCTTAGCTTATCCACACCTTAATACATCTTTGTACAATGATCAATCTAATTTAAATAGAGATTTTCTTGACTTAAATCCCCGACAATGACGCTAAAAACTTGTTTGCATGTCTTTGAAACACCCAAAATATAAAGTATACTAGGTTGTTGTAGTATAACAAGTGTCGTATTCATTGAAATTTGGCAAAAAAGGCAATGTTTAAACTATTTTGGTCTTCTATAAAACAGTAGTTGTGTTTAAGATGTATTGAAAAAAACAATTATGTTGATGAAAATGTTGTAAAATAAGTTAGAACATAGTTTGGATTACTAGATGAATGACTTTTAGATTGTTGAAAGTGCATTGCAGTTTGACTTCACAACTTCTCCCTCTCTTGCAACAGATATACCCTTAAATATGGAGTTGCAAAGGATCTATTGGGATAAACTTAAATTTTATGGTTTTCTTAATAATATTGTTTAAATCTTATTTTATTAGTTTTGGGTCTAGTAATATTTAGTTTGATTTGATAGATATAAAATAAGGATAGGTAGTTATGCTTTTCTGTTTATCTAGGTACAATACTATTTTATGATAGATTAAGCATATTTTGTTTTTAAGATAGTTGATATTTTATTTTTCAGATTTTATTTTTATTCCCGTAATATTGTAAGTATCACGACTATTTAAAGTCCTTCAAGCCCTTCAATTATCAATGAATAATAGACTCAATTTTCGAAAAATATTTGAGTGTGTGTATCGTGAGATTTTCTTAACAGTGGTATCAGAGCTTTATGCTTTGAGTACCGAGAGAGAGGAGAGAGTTAAACACTGTGAGAGAAAAAGTGAGTGCTTGATTTTTTTGTGTGAGAGAGATGGCAAAGGTTGTCAATGGTATGAGTGTGCCACAATTGATAAGAAAAACCAATTATGGTAATTGGTGCCTACAGATGAAGTCGTTATTGAGATTCTAAGACATTTAGGATACGGTGGAAGACGGGTACGTTGAATCTGATGAGGATGAACATCAGACGGTGGCATAGATGACAACGTTGAAGAAAACACGTGCAAGAGATGGGTCAACATTGTATTTTCTCTACAATGCAGTAGATGAGTGAGGATTCAAAAAAATAGCGAATGCCAAATCATCAAAGGACACTTGGGAGATATTGGAGGTTGCGTATAAAGGTGACAACCGCGTTAGAAAAGTCCGAATACATGCTCTTAGATGAGAGTTTGAACAGCTGAAGATGGAGCCCAAAGAGCATATAACCGAGTACATAACTCGGGTGGAGAAGGTGGTCAACCAACTCGGTAGAAATGGAGAACAAATGCCATCTAGTCGGGTTGTGGAAAAAATTTTGAGATCCCTTACAAAAGATTTTGAAAGTATCGTGGGCGCCATCGAAGAATCGAAGGACTTGTCGGTTCTCACAGTGGATGAACTTGTTAGGTCATTAAAAGCCCACAAACAAAGAAGAAATAGTTGGGATGATTAGGTTGAACCCGACGATCAAGCACTACATGTACAGTTTGAATCGAATAAAACTCGGATTACTCAGAGCCGAGGTCCTGGCGACAGATGGTGAGGAAGCCAAGGACAAGGTGGATGTGACCGACCGGTAATTTTGAGAATGATAATGAAGAGCAAATCGGTGAGTAGAATTGGCGTGACCAAGGACAAGGAAAAGGCCGAGGTGATCGGTCAAAAGTTGAGTGTTTTAAGTGTGACAAGTATAAACACTATGCAAAGGAGTGTAGATCAAGCAAGTGTTACAACTGTGGCAAGGCTGACCATATTGCGAAGTATTGCAAGACCGAGACAAAGGGTGAGACAAATCTCCTTACTGAAGATGCAGAAGAAGAGTGTCGAATCTTGTTGTTGGCAAAGAGCTCAGATGCAGTGGACATAGAGAGCCCAATCCCAACAATTGATGAAGTGATATCGGTAAAGGATGCAACAATTGTGGAGAAGGAAAACCTGGAGAAAGAAGTCAAACAAAAAGATGAAGAGATTCAGCAGATAGGGAGGCTTCTAGATTAAGCTAATGAAATTATTAATAAACAGAGGGTTGAGCTTAAGGAGATGAAGAAGGCGACTCTTGAAAAAGAAGAGAAAGCATCTAGTGTTCTTGAACCAGACGAAGAGGAAGATGAATATGTTGAGAAAACCCGATGAAGATGTCGGCCAAGATTGTTGAGAAATCGCCTAAGGTTAGAAACGAGTTGGTCAAGGTTATTAAGAAGTCAAACATAACAAAGTCAGTCAAAGCACTAAAAAGGTCAACCAAGGTAAAAGACAAGAGGGCCATAAGGAAAAAGAAGAAGTCAAATCTGATTGAAAGAAGCAAGCCCGATATAGGATGATGCACACGGAAAGCCGAATGAAGGAAGGAAGAAAGAATTTAAGTTTATGGGGGAGTTTGTTGGGATAAACTTAAATTTTAGGGTTTTATTAATAATTTTTTT